TAAATTTATATACAAAGTTTGTCGGTGTGACGACTGATTCGTTGATACGGAAGTAGTCTCTTTGAGATGAGATTTTATATTCATTCTTAAGTTTCGCGGTTGGCTAAGCGGTTTTAAAGAGACTGCGGTAATGGTGGGTTTGATCCCCGGTTTCTTGCTTCTGATGGGTTGGGAGGACCCGACCCAATACTCAGAGTACTACACAGACTTCACAAGTCAAATACGTATATACCTATGTCGTAAAAGAAAGAAAATGTCGTAGATGCCTTTAGTAGAATCCAATAAGCCCTCAACTTAAGGGCGAAGTTCGAACTAAAACTTGAGAAAATTCTAAAAATCAATAAACTATATATCTGGTCTACTTCGCCCTAATATCTAATACAACCTTTCCAAGTATCTAATACAGATCACAGCGGTGACTTTGAACTTTGGGCACATGAACTGTTCCAATAGAGCATCAATCACGGTGCAATGGACTTTAATCCCGTACATTAGAGTGTCAAATCGTAAAAAAAATATGCTACATGTGCTGAAGGAATTGAACGTAATTGTTTAATGTATCCGAATTTGGTGACAGGTCAAAACACGCGTACGTCAGGTACAGTTGTAGTCACTAAATCTTTGTAGTAGTAAAATGGGATTTAAAAATAATTTACGATGGGTTTTTGAACTTAAAATCATATAAGAATGTAATTCTAGTCGAGAGATGTCAAATCGACACTAGAATGAGAGAATTACACTTAAATAGGTCACTATTATACATGGAAATACATAATGCTTCTTAAGACAATTTAATTTAAAATCATATCAGTAGTTTAGAGTAATATGGGAAATAAATTATAAAACATTCACTCGCGAATAAACTATCATAAAAACCAAAATCCATGTAAATAAGGTTTAAGACGTACATATTTGTTGAAATAATATTCAATGGAAATCGAATCCAAGAATCCTGAAGACTTGTTGAACCGTTACTGACGGTTTAAGAAAGTGTAATTCAACATCATATGATAAAAAAAATCCGTTCACGCGGGCAATTTTCTATAACTTAAAAAGTTACCGTTTACCGCGTTTTAATTCGGTTTAAAATAATATAATCAATAAGTGTCGTCGTCATTTTTCTACTATGGGTTATAACACTTAATCAATTCAACAAATTAAATCAATCAATATTATTGGAGCCATAATTTTTGAGAGCGCCTCTAACGAAAATTCGTTCCTAATATACTTGTAAACAAATCATTTCAAATTGTCCTGTAAGGGGACGTTGGTCCCAGTTGTGTCATTCGGGGTCCGTGACCTTACCGAAATCTATGTACCTTCGTTTATAAAGCATCGACAGATCAGCTCACATCCTGATTATTTTAGTACTTTAGTTATAGTTACCGTTACATTTGTTAGAGATTGCGATGTCGTTGGATGTCGATTTTAGGTACCTTTATGAAAAGAGGTTCCATGAAAAGTCGAAAAGAGGTTTTGAGTTCAAACTCCGTACCAAAAGATTTTCTTTCCATGTGCTCAAGGCGAAGTAATAAATGAGGAAACCGGCTTGACCCAAAAATTTAAGATGTCTGTTATTGATTAAATTTATTTTTTATGAATAAGACATTTACATTTGTGTTTAAATGTAGATTTCTACAGATCCATAAACAAAAACTCTTTTATGACAGTTTTAATTAAGCGTTTGTGAATGCCTGACTCTGTCCAGTCTAGGTCATGGGGTTCATGAACCCCTTGGATCCGCTGTTTCATTGTAAACTGAGGCCAAGAATTTTGAATTTAATACTACGATATCTATATATTGAAATCGTTATCGAAATAGCTGTTAATGTTGCGGGGCAGGCTGCAGCTTTGAGATCAAGGGTCAGGCGTAGGAGACCGCTACTGTACTTTGTGTCAAAACATCGAGTACTTTCTCCAGTGATAAGACTCTCCTTGACTCATAATAATAAAAAGGCAATTAATTTTAATCTTTTGTTTTATAAATATAAAAACCCGAGTTTTTTATTTATGGCTTAGATTTTCTAGTATTAATTAACAGTGTAAGATCGTGATCTAACCGGCTCTAATAGTTTTCTTATATATCTTTTATTCGTAATATAATCTGGGCCTATATAAGAATGTACTTAAAACATATTAAGATATAAAGTCAAATGTCACCCATTAGCGCTATCAATTTGGCCAGATGTCTTATGCATTTTTATTTAATTTTTCTTTATATAATTTCGGAATATATTTTCCACCAAAAAATCGTAACTTAATAAAATTACATTATGAATGAAACCGCAAGTTTAATCAAACAAAAAGTGTTTATTACAAATTAATTGATTTCGATATTATAATTATAATAGTTAAATTATATTGTATCATTTAGATGTTTTAAAACGCGAATACAATTAAAATCAAAGTAACAATATGTACCCCACACGTTTCATCAAAGCTAAATTATAATTATAATTTTATATAAAAAGAACGACTGTATACTGAGTATCATCTGTGAGAAGCAGGGGCGTGTCACTAGTTATCAATATAAATGAGATTTATATAGGATTTAATTACGTCCGTGATAAGAATATTATCGAAATTACAAATATCCCTTGTCAAGACGCTTAATAAAAATAATTAAACGTTCTTATCAAACAAAAATGAGTAGGTACATGCATTGAGAGTTCGCCAATTGAATATAAGACTTACACAGTTGATTTAAGGTTTATTATTTATTGCAATTTGATTAGTGAGTACATGATTGAATCTCCTTGTTAGCCCACGCGATTTACTTCACTATGGGCTTTGGGCTCATCTCTTGAATATATCAGTGCGATACTGGCCGTTACGAGGCGCGCGCGTTTCAAAAATTCAAAAATGGAAGTTGGAAAGCGAAATCTTTGGTGCAGTGTTAATCGTGGTGGTTTGGTTGGAGGGTAATTCGAAAGTTTTATACAAATCTAAATATTTTTAAGGTTTAAAGTTACTTCAAATACATTTTTACTTAGAAGGTTTAGTGGTTTATTGTTATGAGTCCAAAAATGGTCCATTGCGAGTATATTCTGAAGGCGTTTTTAGTGGATCGATTTTTATCCAGGATAATAATATTACATCGTTATTTTTCTTTACAAATTATAACAAAAACGTATATTTTTTTCCAATACTGTAGGCATTCGTAATGTAAGTGGTAAAATATTTATGTTAGATCAAATAATATTATGTTAAACACAATTCAATCGCCTGTTATTTATATAGAGCAATAAACGTATATTTTTAATTTTATAATGGAAGTGGAGATGGCAAAAGCTTTCGTTAAAGAAAAATCTGCAATATTTAAATTTTCTTACAGGAATTACAATTAGTAATCATATCATACTTTTAATTTTACGAAAATAATAAATTGAAAATAAAAATTGTGCGTTTAAATCCCGTGCACCAACTATGCAATTAACACATTGAAAGGTGAAAGAAAACAATGTGAGGAAACCGTATAACCCATGACATATGCCAGGATGTGATCACGTACACGTCTATGAAAAGAAATCAGAGACTTCTGAGGCCCATACCCATATAGGGTTGTAGCGTCCCTTAATCAATAGAGATGGAAGTCTCATATAAATTACCCTGATCACCTTCTATTATCGCCACCTATGATATATTATCAGGGGAGTTGAAATGTGTTTAATAAATGACATAGCTGTGTTTAATACAATAAAATAATTGTAATGCTAAAACCATATCACCTGGGGTTAAGACCCATTTAGGGTCGTCGCTGGATAATTAAATATTAATAGTTACTAACCCAAAACGATTTGGACAGGACAGACACTTGGTCAGCCCTGCGATTCTGTAACTCACTTTTCGAACTCACACAGCGGTTTTCACATCGGCGGTCGCTCTCAAATCAGTCGTGAAGCAGTCATTTTATGATTTGGCATTCTGAAAAGGTGGGAGCTTGTAGTTTTTTGTATTGTATTGTATTGTTTATCAGAATGCCAAATCACAAAATGACTGCTTCACGACTAATTTCAGAGCGACCGCCGATGCGAAAACCGCTGTGTGAGTTCGAAAAGTGAGTGAGGGCAGAAAACAAAACATTCCTAAAGATTATATCTTTAGCTTCGTTTTGTACATGATAATTTTTAGGCGTACGTCATTGTGCATGGAAGTATGACAGTCTTAAATGCGTATCGTTATATCCCGGAAATATATCATGTGCGAATATTTGAGAATTTCAACGGGTTGTCAACTATTTTCATGTGCTATTTTTGATGGCCGCATTCTTTGAAAGTTTCTTATTTTTTGATTCAAGACTGTCAAATTAATCTCGAACATTGCAGGTTCGAGTGCAAAGAACAAATTAAATTAAATTAAATTAAATTAAATTGTTTTTATTTATGTAATATATAAGTCATCACAGGTACATTAAAGTTTGCACTATTTATAAACGCAATATATGTATTTTTTTCCAACAAAAGATTCTATAATTTATTACAACTCCATTTTCTTTAACAAAAAGAGACCAAAGAGAACTTAAGATAAATTAATGCAATATTAGATTAAATTGGTTATAAGGGAGATAAAACTTTACTGCTTTAAAATAATTATATGAAGTATTGCACTATAAGCAATGTTTCTTTCTTTATAAGAAAGACACTCTGAATTATTTGCACCATTAGTTTTAAAACACTAACTTAATATGAACACATCAAACGAAGCTAAAATGTACCTAAAACCAGTTATGTATAAATTGTCTAGTATACACTGTACATACATTCATACAGTACCATTATAACAAGCTAGCATATATATATAATCTCACGTTGAATAGCTTACTTAGATATTGATATATTGTATCTAAATTTGGCTTGTTAACGTTAGCCTTGATAGCATACATGCAAAATGAATAAGAAAATTGCAAGACTATTAATTGTCTAACACAAGCCAGGCTTAGCCGACACGTACCAACAAACAGAGCTTAATTCTAAATAATCGACGATAGATATGTATACAAAATGCCAATCAGTGGTATGTTCTTATAAATTGGTTTGGGTGGGTGTTCGGCCTTCTGTGGATGAACGAACTCGATATTTTTAACTTACACCTGCTTTGCGAATTTTAGAACGCTTATGATTTATTATAACGTTAAAAATCGCAAATCAAAGGTATCGATTAGAGTTTGTGTTGTTGCTTGGGAAGTATTTAAGCTTCTTGGATGTCATATATTCAGTGGTACAACCTTCATGGTTGACATCAGATTTCAGCAACTGTTTCACTGATTATATTATAGATAGATTATCAGCCTTCTGTACCTGACACACGTTGATTCGATTGTATTGAGATAGGCCGGTTTTGTTGCGATGTTTCCTATCGCCGTAAGTCACCATTAAAATTAAATTAACTTAAGTATATATAAGTGTGTTAAACGTTTTTTTTACAATATCATCAGAAAGGTTTAACAACTAGTAATATAATTATTTTTTGTTTCAGATAACACTCCAGACATGAAGGCGCCATCTTGAACTTAACATCGTCACACTTAATTTATAACATTTTATTTATACTTAAATAATATCGATTGTAATAGTGTTTGTTCTTTTAATTTGTAATGCTCGTAAAATGATTTTGATAAGTTATGTATGGATGGTTGTAGTTTAAAGAGTGGCGGCTCTTTACTCTACATACCTTGGAGTGAATGTGTGTGTGAAGGGTTTTGCGGCATTATGAGTTAAGCGAAATTACTATATGTAGAATATATCTTGGCTCTATCACTGCTTGACATACGCAAATAATATATCTTTGCTCTTTAACCCTCTTAAATTGACTAGAAACTAATTTAATTTTCTAAAAATCTTTTGTATTTCAGACCTGCGGCGCCACAATCACTTCAAGGGTCTGAAAGTAATCAACTTCAGGTTTACAGATAAAGTTCTCGAAAATGAAGTAGAGGAAGCATTTCTTTACATCCACATTCAAGAGCTGGAACGACAGAACATCACAATAACAGACGACCACTTTCACATCAACTATCAGGTCAATAGGATCACGAGAAATAGCCAAGGCAGCAAAGCCTCAGTGCCCTACTCCGATAGCTCCAGTAAACTGTCCGGAAAGGAGCTCCAAGACGGAACATGGGTTAGAGCGAACGTGACGAACATGGTAGCAGAGTTCTTCAGACTCCCACGGGAGACATTAGGAATAGTTGTGAGAGTACAAGACTCGAAGAATAGAATAAACTTGGTTGTACCGCATCCCAGCTCAGAGTCGAATAACGCAGTGGTGAGTCATAATTGCTTTAAGATAAACGGTATCAATGTGTTTTTATAGTCTATAAATAAAACGCTATTAATAGCTATCGCAACAATTTCTGATTTTGTTCTGGTAACGCCGTTAGCGTTTTCGATTTGGGGTCAATTCGTGTCAAGTGTCAATAAGGAACAATTATCTAATAATGATTTGCCCTGTTTCTCAGAGGTCCAAATATTTAAGTCTAATAGTCGCGTAGTCATATTAGGAATAATTTTTTGTCTAAGCTGTTTTATACAAATATTCTAATTTCGGAAATAAAATCTGTCTCAGGGTACAGTCAAAACAAGCGTTATAGCGTTGACTGTATCTTAAAAACATATACATATTTTGTATATTTGGGTAGATTATATATGACACTGGAAGATAACAAAATTCGCAAGTTTATAAATTTCCTAGAAAATTTATAAACTTTCGTAGGATTTTAAACGAGAGATAAATTGTATTATTTTACGTCCAAATTTTCGCAACTTTATCAATTTGCCACGTCTCGTGGTAATTTTATAAACTAACGGATATCCATTCGTAAGATTCTAAACGGTTAGGTTAGGTTAGGTAAGTGACTTATTCAACCAATCAGAGCGCACATGCCGTTTGGTTATCGCTTACTTATTATTTTACGCGTGAGTTCGGTAAGTTTACCATTTTTTAGGAAATTTATAAATTACTTAAAGAATACAAATAAAAGTTTCTCCTACCCTTATGCACTAGATAGCAATATATTTAGATAGTTTCCTTATTTCTTCTTTCCCATTTTTTATAAATTTAGTTTCTTAATATTACTTAAATTGTTATTGAATCAAATATCTCAAGTGGTAATAATTTTACAGTATCTGTTGCTAAGGAAGAAATTGCGCATTACACCAAATATAATCAGGAAGTATTGCAAACCTTGCTTGGTAAAAGATAATGATTTACCAAATTCAGTGATAACATAATTATCAATTTGTAAGTGGGTCATATAGTTTTGTAAATCTAAAGAGGAATAACATCTGGTTACAAGATGTGTTTTTAATTCATGTTTGTATTGTAACGGTAATTTTCACACATTTCACATAATTAATCTATAATAAAGTCGTTTATTTTTAAAGCTGTTCTGTTATCGAACATTTCAGTTTCTGTTTAAAATAATTTATTTGTTTAAGAAAATTAATTAAAAGAAATTTAAAGAGTTTGGTCCCTGTGACAGTGTACCTTTAACGCTGGCAGCATTTACTCGCTGTATTGAGATACTTAGTCGTTGAGCGAGGAAAGTCCCAGTTTTGCTATTGTTTATTATTTGAAGTTTCGCCAAAATTTAAATTCAAAGTAGACCCTGACAAAAATATGGAATTCAAATGCTGCGCTATCAGAACAATAATCAGACTCTACAATTGTAGAAATTGGTTTCTTAAAGTTGTAAGTGATATTATCCTCAAAGTTTAACCAGAAGTTTAATGGAAGGAAACATCGGGTAAAGTAATCTTAATAAAAGACAAAGTCAAGTTTGTTTGTTAACTTGAGAACGGACGAATTTTCATGGTTTTTGATTTGTTGTATCAGAAAAAGGATTGACATATATTGACTGTCAAATATTTTGGCGTGCGTTCAGAAATTTATTTTGTGTAAAACGGAAAATACATCATTGATGGTTAGGCGGTACGATTTCACCGGGTCAGCTTGTCGTTACTAAACGTAATCTATTACGTTTTAGATATCTATAATTAAATCAATATATTTCCAAGTTTTTAAATGGTTAGTAGTTGTACCCAAGCAGTACTTAATAGGTGAAACAGTCTAATTGTTTTTTTTATAAATAAGGAAATATAGTCTACTTCCTAACTTGAATCGCTTAACATTGGGTCTAAGTTGTTTCAATCTGTACCATGAGTTTGACATGTACACTCACATAAGAGTCCTTTTCATGAAAGAAGTCCCCCAGACGCGGCGCTGCAATCGCATGACGTAATGTTGCCATTTATGAGTAAAAAAATTACCTATTTTATTTACATTTACCAGATGTAATTTATCAAATAATACTATTTTCTGCATACTTCGATGAAACAATATTTATGTTATCTAAAAAGGATATTTTTATTTACTTATATTAGCGGTGTTCTACCTACTTACAGGGAAACGATGAGAAAATAGGGTAATGAAAAGCAATACAATTTTTTATTCAGAGTTTTATTGCATAATTGTGATCAACGGCTATAGGGACATCACTGTCTGAAGAGTGGATGGAAACAGAATCAGATTCTGTTTCAGTATCACTAGCCGTTGATATAATTATTCGGTCCATCTCTTCATCCATAAGGCCGTCATTTTTTAAATATTCCTCCTCTAAATGTTCGACATGCGTGCACTGAGCTGTCCAATCTTTAACCGTAATAGACTCAAAGGCCTCTTTAGTTAATTTTACAAATTCTTTTGGATCTTGTGCCACGTTCTTATCCGCCACCTTTCTTTTTACAAGGCTCCAGATTTTCTCAATCGGGTTGAGGTCACAATGGTAAGGAGGCAACCTTAATACTTCGTGTCCGTGGGCTGTTAATAATTCATCAACTGCAAAATATGTCGGTGGACCTTTATTTTGTTTGATTAGCTCATACAGCACAACTTTTGTCCAGGTGTCTCCAAATATATACCCTTTTGCCGGAGCCATTCTTGCATGGCTTTTTATATTTGACATAGAAGGGGCTTTGTTTAATTGAGTGCAATGTTGTGATGCTTCCCTGAAAATTGATGTCTTCTCGCAGAGCTGCCCGTAATTTAACCAATGTTGGTAATTCTTTATGCACAACGTAAAAACTGTAAATTTTTTGCCGGATAGCGCACAAATCGAACCCGTCTAATTCGAACTTTTTTCGGATGCGGGCGACCTTTCCCCGGGGTTACAATTTTTTTCGAAGTACACGCCGCTGTTATACCTTCGTTTGTAATTCTTGTTACAGTTTTCTCTGGCACACCTGCAATTAAATTATGAACAATTAAAAATAATAGTAACTTTAAGTTTATAATGCTTATGTAATATGTAATATACGTTTTAATTTCAGTTACCTAGTTTCATCACGTTATGTATTTGTTCAATTTTGTCGCAAAAACGAATTTATATCATAAAAGTCCCATCAATACAGCAAAAAATTATTAAATGGCAACTCTAAAAAGTACCTGTTATGGCGCCAACTCTCTTCCGAACATTGTTTAGTGGTATTAAAACACCTTGATTCTTATGTTCCGTTTCACAGAACTCTTTCACCTTTAATATCATTTCTCGAGCCGAACTTTTAACAACTTTTGGCATTGTAATCAATGTTTAAAATGCACTAAGCTATTTAAAAATTCACAAAAATCTACCACAACAAACGAACTTGATAACATCGACGAATGACAACATTGCCGACCTGTCAAATTTAGTTCCAAAAATCACCGCGGGACTTCTTTCATGAAAACTGAAAAGCACTATACACACTTTGCATAAAAATTTAGTATGACTACACTGTAAGATTTTTAAAGAAGACTATCATGTTCATGATAAAGCATAAATAATTTGATTAAGATGCTTACGACAAAATATCTCAACCGCCGCTGCGCGTACGTTTCGCGTATGTAAAGGAAACTTAAACCAAATGACCATTTATCTCAATAACGTAAAGGACGTTTCATTGTAATTAGCCCATACGATTTAGAAAGAAATAGATTTTATGTTTTTATTACATTAATAAACTAACTAGCCTAAACGCCGCCTTCATGGCTTGTTATATCCTGGCAAGCACTTGTTCGTTTCGAAAAAAAAAATTTCATTCGTAATCGTTCGTATAATAATAACTAAAGCCAACCTATAAATTTATGATTTAGACATCTGATTCATCATTTGAAGAAATGGAGACTGTTCGAAGTCCTCCTTTTGCTTTCGAATAAAGTCGCAGTAGTAAAAAAGCATTTCTGTTTCAGATGCCCTACATAGAACTAACTCTAAGAGATAATTCGCACAAGAGAACGCGACGGATGATCGGAATGGACTGCACAGAGAACTCCAAAGAGGTCCGTTGCTGTCGGTACCCTCTGTCTGTCAACTTCGAGGAGTTCGGTTGGGATTGGATCATTGCGCCTAAGCAATACGACGCGAACTATTGCAGTGGGGAGTGCCCCTACAGTTTCTTGCAAAAGTACCCCCACACGCATTTAGTGCACCTGGTCGCGCCCCAGGGTAGTGGCGGCCCCTGCTGTGCCCCACGGCGGATGAGCAGTATCTCAATGCTGTATTTCGATCACGATTTAAATATAATATACGGGACGATTCCCGGTATGGTGGTGGAGAGTTGTGGGTGCTCATAGTAAGGCTAATTTATTGGTGTGAACCGACGAGACTGGGAACTCTTTGTGATGTGTGTTGTGTGTATTTTGTAACCCCGTTTTTCTGGTGTGCTTTCTTTCGATCACTGTAGTAAAATTGTTTTGAATGAATTGTAAATAAGCTAGATTCACTTTACTTCGCTTGAATGTTCGACTTATCTCAAAACTGCATTTACGATTTTAGATTAAGTAAGTAGAAAAATTAAAATTCAGGCGCAAACAGTAAAACCAGGCGTAGTGCCAAGAATGTGAATAACAATTACCATTGTTTTTTTATAGGAAACATTTGCTCTGTTAAGTGACCGACGCTTATTACCTTCTTGAATTGTGGAAGTGTTTGTGCCTTTAGGTCCGTACATCAAAATTTAATTATAAGTAGCTAGGTAGTCTATGTAATTGATGTATTTCTTTTGTCGTTTGGATCTCGTTCAAAATTATTTCTCTTTAGGCTTAGCGGGTGGTGCTTAAATGTATTTTCAATAAATAAATGTACCTACCCTGTGTGAAACGTATTACTTTCGTGATGAATTGATTTTATGTATTAGGACTAAGAATTTTTGGGCGAAAAATTTCAAAATTAGATCTCATTTTGGGACAGAAAGGATAATGTGTCCTTTTAGATGTATGTTTGGATCAAAAAACTTTATACAAAATTTAGGGTGTAGGGAACGAACATCTCGGAACAATTTTCGAAAAATTAATCAACAGTGTCGTGTTATAAGTTTTTTTAATAAAATTTTCAATTCATTTTAAATATGTATTTTTATTCGCTGAATCGATTGCTCATATGGTGTAAGCAAACATCCACATATTAGTCACCTTTCATACGCGCCTCTTAGTGATTCCCTTTTATAGACAGAAGACACACATTTACCGCCGATATATTTTACGTCAACCTTTAAATACTTGTTAAAGTCATCTTACTGACATTTGAAAGCTGCAGCAACTACAATCATCAGACAGGCCTTTGGGCCGGCCGGTCAGTGGTTAGAGTCGAAGATCGCTTCATTTCTGCAACAATAGTCCATCCTTCACAGTGACTCGTAACACTGGCAAAACTTTTATTTTAATTGTTATTTCGCTGGGAATTGAAACCCGAGATGAACCCCCATTGATCACGATTTTATTAAATGAAATCGTTTATTTGCTAAGTTAGTGGTACAATTCGATAGATTATTTATAAAAATCCGCACAATAAGCCATATATAAATAGACATGCCAATGTCATTATAATTTTTATAAAAAATAAATCAGTGGCGCTACAACCTCTTTAGGTTTTGGCCTCAGATTTCTGAATCTGTTCATGATCATTTATCAATCTAATAGACAAGTAGGTAATCAGCCTTCTGTCCCTGGGACACGCCGTTGACTTTTTGGGTCTAAGACATGTCGGTTTCCTGACGATGTTTTCCTTCACCGTTCGAGCGAATGTTAAATGCGCACATAAACAGAAAGTCCATTGGGTGCACAGCCGAGGAACCTACGACCTCAGGGATGAGAGTCGCACGCTGAAGCCACTAGGCCAACACTGCTCTTAATTTTTATAATGTTATAATAATAAGTTTTGATGAATAATATATTGTAAGCCTTTATTCTTCAATTCTAGGTTTCCTATCTGTTTAAATTAATACCTACTATTTAGCGCCATCTGTTTATCAGAAATGGTACCTTAAACATATGCCTTGAACCTTTCTTTTGGATGAGTTGAAATTATTACAACTTGATAAATACTTACTAGAATTGGATACAATAGAATAGGCATTTTAACACATAATTTGAGTTTTTAATATAAATAATAAACGTTCAATCGTGTTGATATGAAATCTGTGCAAAACTTCTGCAACCAATTAAAGTATTATTCTGCAGGAGCCTCTTTTGAACTGCCTTTTTGATACAATTGGTATTATTTGATTTGGTAGCTAAGGAGTAAAATAAACAAATATATCAATTGCGTGGTCGTCCTTAAAGAACAGCCACTCTTTATTATATAAACTTTAAATTATGTACACATTCTGTTCGTCCTACATTAATATAACGTTATTAAAATACAATCAAAACAAAATAACAGAAATACACAAGACACTGTACAATTACGGGAGAAAAAGACTAGTAATACCCAAATACAAAATATAAACCTCCCTTGATATTTTTCTTATTTCCCCCATTTAGAAAGTCAATGTTGGCTAAATTTATAAATTATTGTTTCAAAGTGAATCAGCCAAACATTCACTCCACACTCCAGTCTAAATATATTGCTTACGATCCAAAATATACAAGAAATTAATTCATACACAGGTTATTGTATCCGTTCCTAAAAACAATTCCTTAATTATATTAAAATTAACAGTTATCCATGGCGTTAAAAGAGTTCTACAATACGTAGATGTTTAAATCCTAATCTAAGGTAAGAGTGCACAACATTAGTGGTGTCAGTCTAAGTAGGTCGGATGGATTATTTTTGGAAACGATAAAAAGCTGCCGAAACGAACGAACATACAAAATAACGTATGGCAGTGACGGAACGTCCGTAAAACCTAATCTAAAGCATATAAATGAACATCACAGATTTTCATACCTACTATAAGAAATGCCATGATTCGAACCGATACAGTAGTAGAAGTAGTAAGGTCACACCGGAGTCACGTCTAGTCTAGTTATGTACAAGTCTCTAATAAACCTCAAAGTATAAAATAAAAGTGGTTCGCAACAGAGTTGAGCCTTCACTTAAATAGGATCACAGTGGAAAAGTGATTTAAGTTTACGTCTATTATCTATAAATACAAAGTCCGCGGTATGGCAAGTATCTACGGGTACTATCACTCGTCTAAACTACGTCTCATAGAAAAATCATTCGCTATATCTGTACACTTCACTCCGAGTCACTAACACTCAAAAATAGAAACAGGATTCGAGGATTCATAGGAAAAATTTAAAAACTGGGCTGCGATACAGTCCTGGGGTTGCCGCTCTGAGGGTACGCGTCGTAGGAGTGGGGCGGCTCCAAGTGGCACACCACGTTGTTCTCCCCGTTCAGGACCGCAGCCAGCGCCCTCATGTTCTCCTGAGGCTGGTGGTACTGGTGCATCAGCTTCCCGCTTTCGTACGCGTGCCTCGGATCGTAGGCCCTCTCCAGGGTGTCCCATTTGCCATACTTGTAGTGCTCCTGCTCGTGATGGTGCCTCTCCCCGGGGCTGTAGGAGATGAGGGGCCGATGATCCCCAAAAAACTTAGATCCGGAGGATCCGTGGTGTCCCGGGTTCTGTCTGCAGTCGGGGACAGAGTTGTCGTCCGACATATCGGACATCATTGTCTCGTTACGTTCGATCTCCTCGTACACTGGATCGTCCTGAATGACGCGGAATTCTTCGGAACCGCGTCGGTATATTCGTCCTTGTTGAGAGGCTATTTCCGAATAGGTGTGATTGACGTTTTGGCTGCCGTGATGGTGGTGATGTTTGCGTCGATTCTCGTCCTTGTAGTGTTTCCTGAAGATCATCTCTTGGCTGCCGGGTGTGTGTTGGGACATAAACACGTGGGGGTTCCGAAAATCATGGTTGTAGCTTCGCGTGGTTTGATACCCTTGGGGGTAATGAAGGGGGGACTCTTCGTCCTTGATGGCGTGTCGGGGGGATCCAGGGGGCATCGGAACGTCACATTCGACATACGGACTGTGAATGTGATTCTGTTGAAGTTGCCGAGACAGCGTGTCATGATGAGGTAATGTTGAAGAGTTCCCCGGATGGTGCTTAGAAGAAGTGTTCTGAAAATTTTACGTGAAATTTAATATGATTAAAATAAACTCGCATTGCAAAAATACGTACTGCGTATTAATTTCAGTGCGCATTATGAACGCTTCAAAATGTTCTCGTATCAGTATAAAATATAAAATAAATTGTTATAACAAATAACATAATATAGTTATCAGTACTATAGAAAATATTAAAAACTGACTTATTAAACATTAGCATCTTTCTCAAACTTTTGATTGATTTTTGGGTGTTGGAGACAGCTCAATTGATTGAAAAAAAAAACATTACATTTTTATTTCACTGTGTTCCGCACTTACTGAAGAACATGCTGGTAAAATTTTGATTAGCTAGGTAAGTAAAGCGATACTTTGTGGCCGTCTAGAGATTAATTATTACTGTGTATAAACAAAAGCTTTCTACTAAAACTGTGTGAAAAAAACCAGAATTTTTATAACAACATTGAATTAATACATGAATGGTGAATATAACAAAGGTATTTTCATATTTTACATGTGAATCTAAATTTATAAATTAAAATGAAATTTGGTTATAAATATTTACAATTTAGTAGAACTTAAGTAATGACATATCTTATTCCAATACATTTACAATCATGTGTAAACTAGCTTAGTATACTCATATATTTAACATAGAAACGCATCTTGTTGTTACTACAATATAATGGTTTGTGATAGTTGGTAGCTGACGGAGGTGGGATGGACTATTTACATGTGCTGATAGAAATCATGCAATCACGCTAAGTTAGCTCATGCAAATACTTGAGTAAGATCTCGTTATTTCCTCCACCAATAGAAATATCCTGGAAAGTTACATATGAATATATGCTAAAGTAAACGTAACATTACAACGAACATGTTTATCATGAAACTTCCATTTGGTGACACCTTTTTATTCCTTTTTGAATAAAAACTATTTAACACTCCAACAGTGTAATCTGAATGTTCGAGATCTTACCAAGGAGTCAATCCACTCTACGAGTGCTAGGCCCTCCCTCACCTTCCAAACATTGCCTCCCGCATTCGCCATTAAAGCCCAATCGTTCGCGCCAGTAGACGCCACCATCTTGTTCGAATAACAAGATGGCGACCGGGAACGAAGGTTCTGGTAATCGTTCGGGACTTCGATATTATTTCTGTAGCTATGCATCGACGCTATACTCTGAGAGTGGGAGGAGCTATGAGGTATGTTTTGAGGCGTTGGAGTTCTAGCGTTTCTTATATCGTCGCCCGGGACGTATATGGGCGCGGTCGGACGTATATTCCATCTTGAATCCGGTTGCAAGTTGTAACTCTGTTTTATAGTTAGAAATACATAAATACATACTTATTACATATATGCTACGACTACTTATCGTGTAAGGTTTGAGAGTAGCGTACGTTTAGTGAAGAAGGACCATACGCAATGTTTAGAGATAGGATTCTTTCGATTTAGAAATCGGATCAGGCAATGCGAGATCTACCACCACACCACTGAAATGTTAGACCCTTAGTCGTTAGTAGTCAGAAAAGCGTTAGTTTGTTAGAGACATGAAAGAAAATAAAATTAAACTTACCGTGATCTGCGCCTAGAAGTGTTAGTTACTCAGCGGAACACATTATTAACAAAACACAAATTGAGCTGTCTTAGACCATTAGTTTACAGCCGATAAGCTGGAGTGGTGTAAAGGTGGTTCTTTAGGAAAATCCTATCTCTTTGAACAGTGCGTACGAACCTTGTTGGACGTTTTGTCTGTACCCGGGCGGGTATCGGGCGCTGCCGTGGATCGGGCCTCGTAGGTGGGACATCGGGGCGGGGGGCTCTCTTTCGGGAATGTTGTGAGCGAAATTGGACGCCGTGGCGTTGAGAGTGGGGCCGAAATTACTCGAAGGACCAAAATTCTGGTTCTCTTGAGAGTTCCTGCGGTTTCTATGGGAATGGTAGCTGTGGGCGGCCGCGGCGGCGGCCAGAGACGCAACGGAGGCGTTGTTTATGACATTGTTGTTGTTGTGATTGTTGTTATTAACGACCACGTTAAGGTTGTTGATGACGAGATTATTTGTGGTGGACGCCGAAACGGAAGTGCTCGCTGTGCTCTGTTGTGGAGATGATTGCGTTTGAGTAGATTAGTACATGTATTTCCATGAATATAACTTAGACCTTATGATCTAATCCTTTAAACTGATATTGTTTTTAAGTCGCCCAAATAATAAAGTTAAATCAACAAAAAATATATCAATAAGTCTTCCCACAATTCCCACAAATGAATACATACCAATGCATCTTAAATTAAATATAATAAAACCACTTAAACCTGTAAAATCCTTACCGTAACATCCCTAGGGTCTACGACGTCTTCACTATCAGGGGCAGTGCTCTGATGATATCGTCTGCTCTTAACGGAACCCTGTCTTGTCTCGACGTGGTTTGATGAAGAGGCAGTGGGAGCATTATGGGTCAAAGGCTGAGTAAAGTGAAGGCAGCAAGATAGCCACGGGTGACGTCGAACGATACGACCACACTCCTTTTGGAACTGGAAATTTAGGGTACACAATTGAGGCGTGTGATTGATAAGAGGTATACTTGGTGCTCAATTATAACCAAAAAAATCACATGAGTAATATTTTAATGTAATCGGATCAAATTCAATCTTTTATTCACAAAGTTAAAAATATTTTCTAATTAATAGTGTGGAATGAAGAATAATTATATATAATCACCAAAAGATGAGTGTGTCTCAATTTATATAAGAATAACTGTAATAGTATTATTTACTTACAATTTCGTTCTGCAAGCAATGGAAGATGAATATGAAAAGTCCTTGTAGCGAATTGAGTATTGTAAAAGCGTACGCCACGCCCACAGTCTGCTCGTTGATGTACAGTAGACCGAACGTCCAAGTCAAACCCAGCAGAAAAGCTAGCACTACTGAACTATTCAGCCACACTCTGTAAATACAATAATTATAATTAGAGAAATTAAACTAGCGAGTTGAAAATTGAATTTTTATTGCCCGTTCTATGAAAATAATTAAAAGCATATTTCAAAATATTCAAACACCAACTCACCGTATTTTATACAACTTTGAATTTTCTTTAGCTTTGATTGAGACTGTGGAATGATGACACATCATGTAAATGACCATGCTGAGACAGATCCAGTTTGCCTAGAAAGTAAAATTTATAATTCTATAATTATTTTAAGATAATATATTCTATTTCTCATTAAGAATATTACATTTACTCATGTGAGAAAATACTAACTAGTAATACAATATATTATATTAGCTTATAAACTTTAACTAAACTATAACATATGACTAAAACACTTGTAAAAAACATAGAAAAAGTTTATCAGTAGGTATGAAACATAATATAATAATAAATAATATTAATTAAACTCAAAACAGAAATATGGTTGTGACAAAATCGATCTAACGCTAGTCCCCACACTAGCCCCTGTGTTTTGGGTACCTGGATTACACTTATTCTGTGGTGTGTGTAAAAACAATTTTTTTAGGAAAAATCTTAGTGTTACACCTAATAGAACAAAAGTCGTATTAGTGAGAAGTATGCGTGATTGTATGAGTACGTGAATGGGTGTGAGGTTAAAATATGTGGTAAGGCCTCTGTACAATCGAAATCCAATTCGGCTAGAATAATGTTTAATTTTGTGAGATATCTCGATAGTTTGACTATCTCAGAATTCATAGATTGAGTTCCAATCTAAAACAGAGGTCTTATTAGAAACACAATTACTGTTTTGTTTTAAATTAAGATTAGACATTAAATTTATACAGTGTTTACAATTATTGTAGGTATTTTAATAGATTACAATTCAAAGTACTTACAATAAGCACCAAAGCGACTGGTCCAACGAAGCTGAAAATAAAGTATCTGTCCGTGGACAACCAGCAGTGTGTGGCTGTGCCATATCCAGGTGGGTATGCGGCAGCCGAAGCCAGTACAACGAGTGCGGGTACCAAATACCCGCCTACGCAGTACCATCGAGCACGTGCTCGTTCTGGCTCGAATACTTCTACTAGCATCGCGTATAGGTGGAAACCTAAATGAAAATATGTATTTATATTAACTTACAAACATATATATATAAATATATATATCGTAGTAAATAATTTAGCGTAAAATAAAAGCACTGATAGCTACTTTTGTAAATGTTTAGTTTACCTAAAAAGAAAAAATAAGCACCCAAAATGCTCACCAGCCAACAGGGTTTTAATTAGGAATAAACTTTTATAAAGCTATTAAGTATATCTCAAACAATATGGTAATAATAGAAAAAAGTTTTCTAATTCCTTATATAATCATTAACGTACCTTCTAGGAACATCCAGGCAAAAGCAGCCAAGAAGAAATAGTGTAGCAGCCCCGCGATGACACCGCAGAGTATTCTATCCTGCGTTTGATCTATTCCGCACATGAATACCACTTCAGCGATCAACAAACATATACACAGGTTCTTGTGGATTAGTACACGATCCGACTGAAACAAAAACATTCAGAAAATCAGCAATTATATATCTTTAATTAGGTCTACGGTCTTAATTACTTCTATCTTTCTAGTCGACAATGTTTCATTGTTACTGGGACCTACAACAATGATAACATTTATTCTATGTTTTTCAGAAAAAAATCTAGCCATGAGTACTAAAGTTATCAATTGATTTGGTATCCGCTTATCTCCTTCTCTATCTTCCTTTAAATCTCTTTGGTACAAGCATTACCTGTCCACATTGTATCTCTAACTTTGGTATCTGAAATTATCGTGATTCACGTGCACTTTTTTTTTGTGCCCTTTTTTATTTAGTGTCCCTTTCACTGTTAAACTATGTTTTAATTGCTTTGCTTTGTTCAATTAGTTGTCTAAGTAATTTTATTTCTTATGTAATTTTGCCCTTCTTGCTCTCACCTTATCTAACTTATTTATTTTTCTTAGTAAATATGTTTCTATTTTGTTCTTTATCCTTATGGATAATATAAGATATAAATAGTAAATACCTTCATATTCCTAAAACACTGGAAAACTACGATGGCCGCCAACAACGCGACAGCTGATATCGCACACCCAATCAGCGTCAAGAGACGTAACGCCATCACATGTTTTGCTCCAATCGAAACACCATGTACGTCCATGAGTATGGCGAAGTTCGTAAGATGCGAACAAGCACACCCTGTATGTGTTAAGTTCGACCATTCCACTTCACAGCCTTCTGGTGACCAGCCACTGAAACAAAGATAATTATTTATTTATAACAACTTATTGACTTCAATCGATATACGTCATCTATCTTCTTATATATAATATAAAAATGAATCGCAAAATGTGTTGGTAAGCGCATAACTCAACAACGCCTGGACCAATTTAGCCAATTCTTTTTTTATAATATTCCTTGAAGTACGAGAATGGTTCTTACGGAGAGAAAAATAAAAGAAATTGAGTGAAAAAGTCTAAAAACAACACTTTTCTATATTCCCATACAAAGGATTCGTAATAATACTTAAAAGTCAATTAGAACTTTAATACCATACCATAAAGTTCAAGTGTTAGTGGAGGGGTTCCGGGAAGGTCAATTTATATTTTCTGACATAATGTATTTGTTCTCTTATCAACTTTCTTTTTTTTATCTTACTAGCTAGACCGGAGTCCCGAATAGCAGAATAAGTATTAAAAAAAAATAAAGAATCAACTGTTAGGCGGTACGATGTTCGCCAGGCCAGCTAGTTATAAATAATTATTATGATTATTGATATATACAAGTATGATATTGATGTATATAATAGGTGTAATATTATGAATCTTAATGAATCAATTGGATTTTTTAATCTTCAACAAAAATTTTAACACGAAATAATTCTGTTAAATTTAAATAATTTGTGCGTCACACGTGCTTTCTTTGGCACGTCCTTACCGAATATCGTCTCTATACAAGAATCTATAATTAACTCACTGCAAAGTATAGTCCCAGAAGACGCAAGCAGGGTTCGTAACGTTTTCAGTCTTTAAGTGTTTCATCGTAAGCCGGACCATTTGAGACAGCTGAATGTGTCGTCCGTTGCCCAAACTGGCTGATATCACCTGGAATTGGTAAAGTCACTTAATGTTAGGAAATGGGAGAGATAAAGGTAGAAATTCGCTGTTTGCGAAATTACTTTGCTTATTTTGTTGTAACATTCGTTGTTCAGTACTGATTGGAATCAAAATAATGTTATTTATTAAATAATGACAAGATGGAGGAAACTTTTAGAAGTTATACTTCTGTAGGCGCGTTATGAAAAATTTATGAGAGTGAAATTTTACGATGCGCGCGCACCGTGACACAAAATTAACAGAATGAAGTTGCCCACGGAAGATGCTACGGCATTGGACATAATTTAAAAACAACATTCGAATAATAATATAATTTATGTTACACTTAATGTAAGAGGATAACAATAAATATTTATTTATTAAATTTTTCAAATGTAAACTTTATAGACTATAATGACTCCTTTTCCAGTCTTTAATTATTTATTTGTAATTAATTATTTACATGCAATCAAAAACTATTCTTAATAATGCCAAAGAAGTATAACTTCTTACGCGCGTACATAAGTACACGCACCCTTTTTATAGTCTACGGCAATGTCACATATGTAAACAAGTCTTACACCAACGATGCTTACGGCATAATAAATAGATAAAAGAAGCGTCAAACATTTATCTAATAATAAAGTTTTTTTACAAAACAAATAGGAAGAAGCCTTTAGCAGCCTAGGGAGGAAGTTATCCTTGATATGTGAGGTGCAGAAGGAAAACCACTGCGCTATATTATCTTTGCAATTGAAGTTGTAAACAGCCAACCTTTAATAACAAAGTGGTACCAAGACGATAGCAAAAACAATTTAGGAAACCATTATTTTTAATTGACATTCAAAAAATTATATTACACTTACTTTTGAATTAAGTACCCGGGTAACATTTTTCTTCTCCTTTTCAGAGTTGATGCTGACTGAAGAAGACGGGTCAGAAGTGTATGCAGCGAATTGTGGGGACTTTCCAAAAGTGGGGGGCAGTATTTCTTCTAGACGGTCGAATGCGAAGAATACAATGCGCACGAGATCAACTTGGTGGTTTTCTGAAAGGATTTTTATCGTAAGTTTCTCGTAACGTCGAGTGCACGTTAGTCTTAAGTGCTAAATAGTGGTACGTGAAAAAATAGAACACAAGAACAGAGTGTCTTCCCCTTAGACTGTAAGTAGTGTTTCACACTTTCTTGTGTTAAAGATCTTTTATATAAATTTAGTTTTAAATGACTTCTAAGTTGGGCTAGATCGTAAAATTAAATGAGGTTTTTGTGCAGAGACAATTTATTTAAAAACAATTGTTTTACCATTACCACCCTAAGCATCTAACACCCAAACCCAATAATTAATCCACAATCTCAGATTGAAAACTACCTGAGATCAGACCGTGACAGTCGATCGATCTCCTATCTGCATCCCAATTACCAAACTCTACGAAGACAATCCACTTTTGGCGACGGATAAAATGCTCTTTGTCGTTCCATTTTACCGAGTTTTCAATCATATTTGATAATCAATGTAAACCAAATAACGTAAATAAAACCGTAAAAATAAAATTAAAATATACATGGATATTTAAAACATAACAAACAGATGTTTTAATTATTTAAAAAACTGATGTAAGTTAAAATCTGTTAAAATAATTAACTGTTGGAATCGAGCTTTCGTCAACTGTCATTTTCATACAAAGTTCTATCCACAGACACCGATACGACCTCCCATGAATAGCTTGTATCGACAGATGTCTATTAGAATCCGTCGATTGGTTATTGGAACACTTGTTACAACATTTGCATTAAGATTACTAACTCAGATGGTTAAAAATGGATTGAGATAGGTTATTGGGTTCGGGTGTAAGTCAATAATATATTGCCTTACGCCCGCTGCTTGATATAGATAGACCCAAAAAAGTGTATTTTTTTGGTTCTGTGACAAGCTAAAGAATTTAACAAATATATTAACTATTTGCGAGTAGATTTTTAACTTGCTGGCCCATAAATAGTACCATATTAAACCTACCCAGCAAAGCAGCTTTAGGTATAGTGATGGTGTCCTCAGAAGCCTTCCACTGTTCCTGAGCGATAGTAGATGGGAATGTCTCATCTTCAACATTCTTCACTTCCAACACTCGCACTGAGAGACCTGAAAACAAACAATTATTAAAGAAAAGTTATATTTTACTAAATAAAAAAATCAGGCACTTGATATTTTTGTAATTGTTTTCAGTATTCTTAAGAAGTTATTCTCTCTCTCTTGACCACGTGAACTCGAACTATTAAACTGAAAATTTAATATACATATATGTATAAATCAGAAAAATCGTTATCATAACCTATTTTATTACTGTGCCATGAAAAAGTGATTTGGTGGATATACTACTCAGCGCTTCTTCTGATTGGCACAATTCGTGGTTCAATATATATTAGCCAGTTCGAATTACAAAGTTAACAACTGTAACATTAGCTGTATTTCTTTCTAAGCTTGTCTTTTTTTTTGACATTTCACACCAATTGACCTAGTCCCATGCTAAGCTGGTGAAGCTTGTGTTATAGGTACTAGGCAACGGATATACATACATATTATAGATAGATAGACATATAAATACATATTTAAACACCCAAGACCTAAGCACAACACCAAATGCTCATCACATCGATGTTTGTCTCAGCCGGGGATCGAACCCGGGACCCATGGATTCGCAGTCAGGGGTACTAACCACTAGACCAATGAGCCGGCCGGTTGTTCAAATCTTAAACAATGCTATATTTAAAAATAATAAATATTCTACGTACATATATTCTTAACAATTTGTAATATAGTTTTCTCCTTAGTAACAGCATCGGCTAACAAAAACGCGTTTTCTTCGAGTTGAGTGAGCAATGCACTAGCAACTCTATTCTGCGCATCCATGCTGAGATCAGACCATGACGCCCGTTGGCTTTCTTCTAGAAGATTCGAACCTGAGAACGACAACAACTGGGTCAACAATATGCTTTATTTATAAATAATCCGTCACAAGCATTATTATTATTACACTGTTATTTTAGTAAATCTCCAAAATGACTCAACTTTGCATAATTCTCTGAATATACATTTATATTTTTTAATGAATTTAGATTCGTTTAAAATAATGAACTCTTAAGTTATTATTCTAAGATTATTTCAATGTTGCCATTTTTCTTTACAAGCAACGTTAGTAAAGAAAAATGGCAACACAATACAAAGAGTGAAAAATTTAAATACGTAAATCCTATTTGAATTAAATTCGTAATGTGTTTACCTGTTTTAATAACACCCAGCAACATATCAGTGACCAATGCTTCTTTCTGCCTCGCATCGGAAAATGTCTGCACGTTCTGGGACATTCGTTGAGCCAGCTTCTTCATGATGCTTGTGGTGGTCATCATGTCACCGCCGTACAGCGTTTTTGAGGAAGTCACCTGGATCAAGAATAAATTGTAAGATTGTTTTTGAAGAAGTGGATTCGTTTTTCGATTCGTTGATAAATGTATTTTTAAACGTATACGCATCTATTAAGACTGGCGCATATAGATGAGAATATCTTTAATAAATTTATTATAGGAAAAAAATAATTTTTATAATATTCAATCGCAAATCTTAATAATTGCACGAGGTAGAATTAGGGCCAGATTTAGAGGTCTGGAGATCTCAGGGCAAGAAAGGAGTGGAGGCTCCCTGACCCCAAATTATTTCCCAAAAAAAATAAAATTTTCATTCGAGTTTTTCCATCAATAATTATTGTGAAACCAAGTAGATTGTTTAAGTATTTCATAAAGACGTAAAAATATATCAAATGAAAAGTTGTTTACATTTTGCATTACATTTTTTTCCGAAGTCTGTCTTGCCCGGGGCTACTGCCCCTGTTGCCATCCCCTAAATCCGGCCTCGGATAGCTTTAGCTAACTTTGCATATGTTTCTCATTTCGGAGGCTAAGACACTGTTAGGGTAGCAGAGCTAGCGAAGTGAGTGAATGTGTGGATGAAATAGTTTTATATTTTAAGTTTAAATGTATGTGGGATAAAGTAATTCAATTAAATCAATAACCTTTCAGTTTGAGTCTGGCAACGTGTTATGATTTTAAAGACAGATATCGAATATGTCTTTATTTCTCGCAGTCAAATATATATTGCAACTACCTGCGCAAGATCATTGCTGATGCTAAGGAGAGATTCTCCTTCCCGAACTCTTGCTTCTAAGCTATTAAGCCACACTGACCGACACTCGCTTAAATCTGGTGTCGCACCATGCCATTCTGGTATTGTATCTGCTGTAATTTAAGAAAAAGTTATGTTTTAGAGGCAGCAGTATTGGCCTAGTGGCTTCAGCATGCATCCCCGAGATCGTAGGTTCGATCCCCGGCTGTGCACCAATGGACTTTCTTTCTATGTGCGCATTTAACATTCGCTCCAACGGTGAAGGAAATCATCAGGCACTGGAGACTGTTCACCTACTTACCTATTAGATTTAAAAATGATTATGAAACAGATTCAGAAATTTGAGGCCCAGACCTAAAGAGGTTGTAGCGCCACTGATTTATTATTTATTTTATGTTTTAGAGGTATCACATGTTGATTATACTTGTTTTATCGTGGTGGCATAGCATTAATACAGAATACTTGTCTAAAATGTTATGAAAAGTATAAAATTCAAAATCATTTATTCATATTTATTTATTTTTATTTATTTATTTATTCTATACATCATCCTAAATAGAAAAAAGTTGGCGTGGTGGAAACACAAACTGGACACAGTTTTTCCGTCCACCAGGTCGTCGAAAATATTTAAATAATTAACCTATTACACACTCAGGCCAGTGACACACTATACAATATAACACCCCCACCAATAAACCATAAAAATTGCACGAACAACATATACCAATTGAAACAATGACGCTCCACAGCCGATGCAAGAAACCTGTTCTTGACGAGAAATTCTCATTCGAATACAGGATGTGTAATCGAATTTACATATTCGAACATGAACTAAATGACGACGTCCTACTTTTAGTTATGCATAATTTGTAATTGTTTGACTTATAAAGTAATTTTTTAATTTAAATTTGATATTGTTTCCTGTTACATTAGCAAATAGCGCAGCCGGTAAAGAGTTTAATAGATTTGGAATAATATAGTCTAATGTTTTTTCCCATATAAATTATTGTATTTTGGTAAAAGAAATTCGTTTTTTAATTTTCTACGTGTTGTATAGTGATAATGAGTTTTAGTTGTTTTAAGGTAATTGTCTGTAAAGTAGTTTTCATTTAATAATGCTAGCTGCACTTTCTCTTGTATAGGTAAAATTTTGAAAAATGCAAATAGCTTTCTATAGTCTTCTTTATATTGTGATTTTATTTTGTAAGGAGCAATTGCTTTTAAAATACGTATTTGTAATGAAAATATTTGATTAAGATAGGTTTTGCATGTTCTCCCATAGCTTGAAAGTCCATATGTTATAATAGATTCTGCTAGTGCTTTGTATAGCAGTAGCAGAGGTATAGGTAACACAATGAACGTCAAAAAGAAATATGTTTGAAATGCTTCTAATTTTAAATCTACTGTCAGTTCTCAAATCAAGGGCGTAAAACGGAAGAGAAGATCTGGCAATAAACTCTCCGTCACTCTTTTTAATCGCCAAGTTATTTGTTTTACACAACGTTTGTAAGGAGCTGCAACCATTACACCATGCTCCGCATGACATCTTAAGTAATTAATAATAACCTCGTGTATGTGACTTTTCATATTTCATTTTTTTTAACATTTTAGATCAATGGCACATTAAAAAAGAAAATAGAAATTTTGTGGTTACCTAAATCGTAAAGTCATTAAGTATGAAAAATAACTTCTCTGTTTTATTTGCGCTAAACTTACAGTATACATAGTCTCCATTCGACGGATTTTCTTTGGAAGCCTGTGCATCAGGTAAGGCCACGCTGCCGCGGTAATCTATCAGATGTTCCGGGGTATCACCACCACGACCTGCAGAAATTAATAAGTCTTATTCGTCTCCAAATAATATTGTATAGTAGTATATTTTTTAATTTCCTACAATTTATACTACACAATTTTTTACATTTATTTATAATCTGGTATTGATTTTAAAAATTCATTTAATAATAATTGATAAGTGTTGATATCAAATTACAGTGTAAACTCTTTATAACGATTTCAAGGGACCGAGCATTTTTTTTCGTTATAAAAAGACAAAAAAAACAAACTTAACCAATTACAATAATTTCTAATTTTATTACTATCAATAGGTAAAGTATTCGAAACACATAATCTGTTAATACACGATAGGTGACGATGGTGCGTTTAGTAACTAGGCCCAAAATTTCCTACAGGCAATGTAATTTAAGAATAATGGCACACGTGCTAATGCAATTAACAATAACAAAGGCGAGACGGCTGTTTATGACTTCAGGTGTCTTTTTTAGAAATTGTGGCACCTCAAAATGTTAGTTTTGTAAGCTGATTATAAAAACAATTACACTTAAGTGTGTTGTTGATGTCTAAATATGACAATATTTCTTCGTTATAGAGAATCGCTGCTTCGTTATAAAGAGTGCTTTAATGTATGGGGTTTTAAAATGTAATTAATTATACGTTATAGAGAGATTTTCGTTATAAGTCATGGCGTTATAAAGAGTGTACACTGTAATATTGAAATCGAGAGACTGAACTTTAAAATTTGAAATTACCTTTAAGCAAAGCTTCAGAACCAAGTCGCCTGATCAATTGCAGCTGCCTCTCACTGGGCTGGTCTAGACCTAAGTCGTGGTAGTTCTCCCCAGACTGCAACCCAGAACTCCTTCGTCTTGGACGTTCTTCTTCTACGTGTTGGTGGGCTGTTAATGTGCACCTGGAAGTATATAGAGTATTATTAAAGTATGTTACGTTTTTCTGCAAGTAAAACAACGTTTCGTGACCACCTAGTGACTTTTTATACCTAAAAGTTACCATTATGTGGTGTAAAGTACTGGAAAGTCGAAAATAATATTCAATAACGCGTAATTCAATCCCCGCCCCGCATGGTAACGTTTTACAAAAGGAAAAAATTTGTTACGTAATACTTGAACGGTCCCTTAGTGCGTGACATTATGACAATCGTGTGCTTTAGTTCTCATGAATTATGAAGGATTTCCTATTGTTTTAAGGTGTATACACAAAAATTCAGGTAATGTTTTAGAATGTTGTGTGTTAAATCATCTTAACAGTTAAATCCTACAACAATAATATTTATCCATTCAAGTATTACGTAAGAACTATTCTGGGGGTGGTGGAATTTGATCTTCATCTTTTTAGATTTGGTAATTACGTCAACAGTAATTATTCACGTTTCTATGCATATAATCCACACATTGTCTATGCTTGAAAACTAAATGCATTTTCGTGGATTCCTACAAAAAATTAATACGTTTTTTGCACCATTATTTTTGAGAGCTTTGCTTACTTTTGGATGGGAGGGGGGGTAAATTACAGTAAATCTGCTTACTTTATACTTGAACGCCCCCTTATCTAAGAAAATGAGAGTACGAAAAAGCACATTTATACAATTGGAGGATGAAAGGTGTACTGTTCCTCCAACCTAAAGGATCCTCAACCAGTCTAAGAACTGACTGGCCAGCAAACCCGCTGGCTAAGGTCAAAAAGTTGTATATCCTTAGCAGTTACCGGCCGGAATAACTTCGTTAGCGCGATTCAGAGTACGACGTTGTCGCAATGATTTGTAGGCGTCGATTATAGGTGTCGCTAGTAGTCGCAGTAATCGCATTTAAAAGCGAATTGGACTATAAAATATAGGTTCAGCGGTAAAACAGTCATATGGGTAAATCTTACATATCCTATGTTTTTGATTATCGCGTCAAAATAAATTAACAAAGATACATACTTCCACCTAGCCAACCCAGTGGCGCCACCTGGACATGGCTGAACAGCATAAGTGCCCGCCAGAGTCCAGTTCCAATGCAAGCCGCGTGCTGTAACTTGAGGACAGTACGACCTGCGACCGAGAGCTGGTGTCGCACTTGTAGCTGAAATATTACAATGGAATTAAGATATGGTTTGAAACGCAAAAACTATATGAAAATCGCAGACTTATAATAATAACAAAATATTTTCTGTCTACGCATGTGATATTATTGCATTAGTAATAAACAGTGTTTACAATATTCTTAACCTACATAGTAATAATAATAATTAAATAGAAAAGTAAAATAAATTTAAAAAGTTTGGTCCCTGTGGCAGTGATTCTTTTCCTCTCTGTATTGCGATACTTATTTAGCGAGTAGTGTTGCCCAAAATCGGTATTGGTCTTGCATTTTCGCAAGACCAAGACTGAAACCTGCAAGACTCTTGCGTCTTGCAGTTAAGACAAACTAAATTTGGGCGTTATTAACGCCCGAACCCAATAACCTATCTCAATCCACCATCTGAGACAGTAATCTTAATCCAAATGTTGTAACCAGTGTGCCAATAACCAATCGACGGATTGTAATAGCCATCTGTCGATACAAGCTATCCATGGGAGGTCTGATCAGTGTCTTTGGATATACCTTTGTATGAAAATGACAGTTGACGAAAGCTCGATCAGTTTTTTAAATAATTAAAAAAACTGTTTGTGTTGTTTTAAACATACACATGAATATTTTATAATAATAGGCTAATGGGTATTTGCAAGACTCGCAAGACTCTTGACGCAAGACCAAGACTGGCCTAAGTCTCGTCTTGGTCTTGCATTTGGGCAACACTATTAGCGAGAAAAGCACCAGGTCATCGGTACTATCTAACGAGCGGCAACTTAAATCTTTAATTAGCGTCTGTGTACTGTAGTACTACGTTAGTTTAATTAATTCGTGTCTATTTTCGCAAGGTAACTTACAGAAGACTTTATCGTAATCATCGTCATTTGGTCGATTTTCTTTCGGTGGACTGTGTAATGATGGAGTCGCCTCAGCATCTTCATCTTTTGGCACCCATTGTGGAATGTCATCTGTCACTGCCACTGTAATCAATAATAATAAAATAAGTATACATTTTTAGAAGAGATTGGTCGATGTTTTTTGATGATTCAGAGTGACTTAGTGCTAAAGATCACGACCCGGTATTGGATATTTAACTCTAAAATCGACTTTGTACTAGAGTAAATGTAATTATTATTGACTGATAGTCTGTTTTGAGTGTGGCATTTATGCAAATTAACATAATTCTTATTTGCTTGTCATGACTGCACAGAAATTGTATAATATTATTTTTTTCATATTAATTATCATATTATTACTGTCGAATTATAATTGAGTTATAATTCGACATTCGAGATTGTAAGTGTTCCGGTCCGGTGGTAGAGAGGCTGGCTATCTGTCAATCAGGTCTCCTGTTACAGAGACCAGTCTCTCACATACACTTCCAAATGTTATCTTAGTTTAATCATAATAACCTTGTATCTATATGTTAGAGAAGAAATAAAGATTATTTATTTATTTATTTATTTAGGTTTATATTTCCTTTTAATTTATTTTTAAAGAAACCATCTTTGGCGTAGCTCACACACTGTTTGACTGTATGTTGATTACTTCTTTTTTATAAATAATAATGTAAAATCAATGATTGCAATATTTGTAAATATGTGAGCACCATGTATCTACATAATAATTTAGTATTGTAGTTTTTTTGTTCTAGGTACATAGTCTTCCCTTATAATAATCAAATCAATGTATACAAAATATTGTTAAAACTATTTTAAAAGAGTATGGAGTTTCTTGCCCATTCTTCACCATATGGAACTGCCTTTTTTGGCAAGTTTTTTATATATATTTCTAACTTGTAATTTTGACTTTCAAAAGTGCCTTTGTTATAAGGCTTTATTGAAATAAATGACTGGCTTGACTTGTTATAGTGTTGTCAACATATGAAATGAAATAAGTAATTTAACTCTGCATACCAGATACCATGATGGTTCTATTTACAGACAGAAAAAGATATAAGAATATCATATAGGCATATTATATCGAGATGTAACATAGGAAATGCGATTACATCTTGATTCTAAGTCATTTACCGTGTTCTTCTTCCCTTTCCTTCGGCTTTTCAATCTTGGGTGTCTCTTGTGGTTTTGGAACCTCTTCCTTTATGACTGGTACATTCTCTAATGGAACCTGAGGTAGCTCCTTCTCCGATGAAGAGTCTTGTTGCCTTGGTGTTGTTTTCTGTAAGTAATTTTTATAACTCTTAGATAACATATTAGTATTTCATACAATACAATCGACTCCTAATATTATGACGTTATAGTAATAGCTAAGCAATAACTTTTTAAAGTAGATTTAAGTACCTAAAATTTGAGCCAAATTATAAAAATAATCATAGAATTAAACAATTATGCAATATCGTTACGGAAACATTTAGAAATGTTATTTTCAAGTGACATTTTATATCTTCTATATATGTCGCAGCCAACTAGCTTAATTAGCCGTTCAATTAACAGCCTAGCCTTTTAACTAAACGGCGACGTTTAACTAACGGCCTGAAATATATTCAGCCGTAGCGTTTGTCACAACATTCAATAAACTGGCTGGCTATGCTTAGGCCATTCGTACGACAGAGTCTTATTTGGCAGAAATAAAAAAGATAAACATATGACATAAAAAATATTTCTTTTAAAATTAAATTGCTTAAGTCAAATTTACATTATTATTGTCACTACACTCTTCCATTGTACTTGTTCCTTTTCATGAAAATTTGGAAAACACCATCAAAGTTGTGGTTTGCCGACACCATATTGACAGTTTGAAGAGTTTCGTTTCGAGTTTGAGAGTGGCAGAAAATGAAATGAAATTTAAATTAACAGTCAACAGGATAGGCAAGTAATAAACGTCACTGATCCAAGTCATTTGCCTAACTGTTTGATCAACTGGCTGAACATCTTTCAGGCCGCTAGTTAAACGGCTTGGCTGTTAATTAAACGGCAAATTAAGCTAGTTGGCTGCGACATCATTAAGCCCTATTTCTATTTTTCATTGTTATATTTTGTTGTCAATATTTTAGTAATGTTTGTATATAATTATTATTTTATTTATTAATGTATTTACACTGACAAAATACAGTACAATTGAATATTAATATAACTAGCGGCCTTATCGCTTTCGATATCTTCCAGGCAACCACAGTAAGTTAAAAAATAATTAAATAAGGTGAGCGCAAGTGTTAAACTACACATATAATTACTTAGACAAAGAATGGACAAAACAAATATAACATATGTAGACTACGAAAGGGGCCACATGAAAAAGGAAAAGTATTTTTCTTCTTTTCCTAATAAATATTGTTTTATGCTAGTAATTCTTAAGTTTTTGGAGCCTACCTTTGTCCCAATATTTCCTAATTGTATTTCCGGCGGTAATGTAATATGAGGTCTGAATGTCGGCGGTGTGATCACAGTGGGTTTTTTCTTCTCTTGTTGGGTTTGAACTGGGTTCTTGAGGATCGGTGGTGCGGTAGACCTCCATACTGTTGGCTGTGAGGTGATAAGCCAGGGCGGTGACGGGCGGCTAGTGGTACTCGTAGTTGATGCTGAAATTTATATAGAAGATAGTTATTTCTTATGTGAGCGGTGTTGGCCTAGTGGGTTCAGCGTGCGACTCTCCTACCTGAGGTCGTAGGTTCGAAACCCGGCTGTGCACCAATGGAATTTCTTTCTATGTGAGCATTTAACATTTGCTCGAACGGTGAAAGAAAACATCGTGAGGAAACCGACGTGTCTTGGACCTAAATAGGCGACGGCGTGTCTCAGGCACTGGAGGCTTATCACCTACTTGCCTATTAGTTTAAAAATGATCATGAAACAGATTCAGACATATGAGGGCAAGACCTAAAGAGGTTGTAGCGCCCCTGATTTTTTTAAATGTTTTAGTTATGTCTTATGGTAGATATAACTCAACACCGAAATTTTTGTAATATTCATTTAGATACAGTTTGCTTAGTTTTTAATTATATAAAAATCATTAGCTGTTTTGTATCGTTCCACGTATGTATAAACCACGAAAGCGTGGAACCACCACACAGGGATCTCCCTGGTGGGAGGACGAATGTCTGCTATCATATAATTGTCCTTTAGTACATTAAAAAAAAATCCTTTTTTTAAAAGAACTAAACGGGCATGAGGCTCATCTGATGTTAAGGGATACCGCACTTGGACACTCAATGCCAGAGGGCTCGCGAGTGCGTTGTCGGCATTTTAAGAATTGGTACGCTCTTTTCTTGAAGGACCCTAAGTCGAATTGGTTCGGAACTACTGCAGTGGCTGGTTTCACATAGTGGTGGTGCGCGGCTAAAACTGTCTTAAAAACGCTCAGTTGTGGAACGACTGTCAAGGTGATACGGATGAAATTTCCTATTGTGTCTCGACGTCTGAGTTTCATCTCATAAATATGTATTCGAACCACTCCTCTGAACACTCTCCATGGTAAACGCGGTAGAAGATGCATCTCGATATCTCTACATCTATTCTTAGATAAGAGAAATCGCAATCATTTGACAGTAAGGCATTTAAAATCAAGTCCTACCTACCCGTTGGACTTTTAGTCAATAAAAATGTTATTTTTTTAAATGAAATAGGAGGCAAACGGGCAGGCTTACCTGATGTTAAGTGATACCGCCGCCCATAGACACTCACAATGCCAGAAGGCTCGCAAGTGCGTTGCCGGCCTTTCAAGAATTGGTACGCTCTTTTCTTGCTTGCGTGGGCAGCTGGTGCCACATAGTGGTGGTGAGCGGCAAAAACTGCCTTAGAAAACGCTCAGTTGTGTGTGTATAATAATAGTATTCAAAAAATTACCTGGTACGCATTGATAGTGAGCCTCTAAGTACTTCAACGTGTTCGGACAAGGATCACCGAACATATTAGTGCTGGCCAGTATGCTACAGTTTTGATGCATACTACATCTGAAAATATTAATAAATTAATAAGTTTCTGTGTTATTAAAAAATATGTAAAAAATAGCAGTGTTTGCCTAGTGGCTTCAGCGTGCGACTCTCATCCCTGAGGTCGAAGGTTCGAGCCCGGCTGTGCACCATTGGACTTTCTTTATACGAGTTAACATTCGCTCGAACGGTGAAGGAAAACATCGTGAGGAAACCGACCCAAAAAGTCGACGGCGTGTGTCAGGCACTAAATCACATACTTGCCTATTAGATTTAAAAATGATCATGAAACAGATTCAGAAATCTGAGGCTCAGACCTAAAGAGGTTGTAGCGCCACTGATATTTTTTGTAAAAAAAATAAGATACCAATTCAATATTCATAGTTAATACCGGATAACGTTGTCACTAGTTAGCCAACAAATATCTTTATAATTTGTTTCAAACCACAACCACAGCTAATATTTCATCTAACTTATTTGTATGCTCATTTAATCTTTATTAACATTACAAACGAAAACAATTGCTACCTAATTAATCAGTTAATTTGATGGTTTACGATATATACTAATTAATTCAACATTATTGTCGTTTTCATTGTATTCGTGCACCACGCGTTTTGAGCGAAAGTTTTAAAGCGTTAATTGTGATGAACAAAGGTGTTTCAAACACCACAAATACATGAACAAATACTATCTGTTGACCAATGACAGTTAAACAGAACGCGCCAGTACTACTTATTGTCGAGATTTTTAATTAGGCTAATCTAGGCACTACCCTACAATCTAGCTCAAAGTTCCCCAAACTTTTTTGTGTCGTAGACCCCTTGCCATGTTTTTCCATGTTGGGTAGACCCCCTACTTACCCGATAATGATTTCCTGTAAATTTCTAACTGTAGTGAAGTTTAGTATTAAAAACGTAAAGTAAAAACACATGTTAATTTATACATTTATTAATTGTATTTAAGTTTAAACTACACAAAATAAAATTTTGTATCTGTTATGTAAAATATACGTAGCATTAAATAAACATAAAATAAACTATAAATAACATAAGCAATAAGTCAATATAATGTATTATGTTTTGATATAATAAGATAGTATGATTTAAGTAAATAGGTACTATTAGTGTATGTGTTGAGATCCACTATCGTGGACCCCCATTTTCATTTCATGGACCCCCAAATTTTTTTTTCCCTTGCAGGTTGTCATAGACCCCTAGGGGTCGATATAGACCACTTTGGGAATCACTGATCTAGCTGATGCGCTTGGTGAAGAATAAGAAAAAGTATGACGAGCCGACCGCCAACCTCCAGTAGTGGAGAGGCACTTCAAGAAGAAGAAAGAACTACTCTCCGTCAGATAGAGATGGAGCAAGCTAGCCCAGGACAGAATGGACTATAATCATAGAGGCCTATGTATAAAACTGACAGACATTACATTTATTTCTAATGAGACACACATAAAATGAAAATAATAATAATCAAAAAAGAAAAATAACACAATTATCGAAAGAAAAAAAGGTATATATTAAGGGTGTAATGTGGTGTGTTGTGGTAGTAACTGGCCCTGGCTCAGTATGCTGTGGAGCAGACGTGTTCCACAGCACTGGGTATTCTGCCAGAGAACAGTTACCAAAAAAAAGGGTGCGTGTACTTATGTACTCGCGTAAGAAGTTATACTCTTTGCCTTTCTTTATTTTTTTAAATATTAAATAATTAATAATAAATATTTAAATGAAGTGTGAAATGATTTTATTTTATTTTAAAATAAATATTTAACGTTAATAATTGAATAATATTTAGTATATTATTCAATTATTAATTAATATTAATAATAATAATAATTATTATTTTATCTATTTATTCAATTAATTAACTAGGTATGTTTCATAACCTTTTAACTAAGTAACAATAGGTCTTTGTGAAAAAGCATTGCTAAATTTCTTTGAAAAAATAATTAAAACTCCTTTATTTGTTTATGGTATTATGGTCATTCAAAATTCTTGGCATAGCTGATAACTTCATTCTGTTAATTCTGTGTCACGGTGCGCGCGCATCGTAAAATTTCACTATCATAAATTTTTCATAACGCGCCTAAAGAAGTATAACTTCAAAAACTGGTTGCTAAAAAAGTTATAATTTGTTTTTCTTGCGAATTATTTGTTAAGATTTATTTATTTAATCTAGGAACTGAACCAACAAGTTAGCAAAAGTATTATTGTTCCACCAACTTAAAGAAAATATGATTACCCAGAAATATAAGAGAACTATTCTTAAAATGGCAACAATTTTTAAGATGTCATTATTGATTGTTGTTGTTGTCATCTGTCAAAGTGTGGTTTTGTTTCGATTTCGTCTAATTCTTGGTTAATATTGTGAGTTAAAATACCAACAATAAAAACTAGGTAAAAGTTACAAAAATATTAGTCAGAAAGAAAGTCTAAAAGAAAACTCTATGAATGTGTCAAATGTCATGTCAATATGAAAAACATAGTGTTGCTATAATCACAGCTAATTTAGCCCGAAGCAAATTTTGTTTGTCTATTAAATTTGAAGTTTGTTTATAATCTGTGATCTATGAAACTGTACTAGGTGTATAATTGTCTTAAAAATCAATAAAAATAAAAATCTAAATACGTTTATTCAATTTAGATGCATCTTAGGGCATGCTTAAGAATTTCAGGAACGTTTACAAAATTCGCGAAAGAGCAAGACTACGCCATCCGTTCGCAAAACTACCAGGAGGCCTTGTTCTGAGAAGTACGGGCAAGAAACTCAGCAAGTTTTACCCTCCCTGTACATTACAATTATTCAAAGGAAAATGTCATAAACCACAACGTCATTAACTTATCTTATATATAAAATTCTCGTGTCACAATGTTAGTCTGCATACTCCTCCGAAACGGCTTGACCGATTCCTCTGAAATTTGGTAAGCATATTGGGTAGGTCTGAGAATCGGCTAACATCTATTTTTCACACCCCTAAATAATAAGGGTGGTCCACCCCTCAATTTTTTTTTTCATTTTTTTGACAAAATTTTTTTTTTTATTTTTTTATGATACGATATTCAAAAATACATACAACCCTAAGTTTTTGCCCTTCTATCACCAACCCCTATTTTTTATTATAAATGATATACGAGTACATGGCAAAACGACGTTTGCCGGATCAGCTAGTTTTCTATAATATATCTGTTTGTTTACTACCTGCTATGTAAGACCCGTAAACTCCTCGTTGACATGCAGTTGACACTCCAATCAGTGTTGCCATGGTCATTGCAGATGGTTATCGAGAAGCGTCCATAATTTGCTCGTATGAGATGAATCACGGAACCCTCGCCACACCCTATTTTTAACGTCTTCCCCTCGCATGCATATGCAGTTTCGTAGCGTGGTTCTGTAAAAAAGGAAGAATTCGTTGTTAAAATCAAAAGTTTATACGAAAATATAATTAACAAAAAAAAAAAAAAAAGCGAAAAATGTATTCCTTCGCTTTTTTTAATTGTATTTTTGAAATACCCAAAATAATCAGTCAGATAACTCTTCCGTCTCTTACTGTCAAATTATATTTACGCTGTGAGGAAAAGAGACAGTCAAAACAATATTTTTTCTTAATACAGATTATTATAAGGCGTTTGACAAAATAAACTCGCGTTAACAAAAAATTGGAAATGACGTTTGACCTCATAAAGAACATTGTAAAATTTCGTATAAATTAAATTTAGTTAATTTATATTCACTCCTTCCCCAAAGGATCTCTTGCTACGGTCCTGATCTCTTCGCATCATCCACTTTCATGACATGCTCGTTTGATATGGGTACTTTTAACTCGAGTACCACCTAGATTTGGTCCAGGTATGGCAAGGCTTACTCAACCTGATCTCACCATTCATTCATTCATTCCTTCCCTTTCGTATCCTTGTGTTATCCTCATGTAATTGATCTCTATTCGTTAATTAGTAACAGGGCAAAGCAATATTTCACAAAACTATTCTCATAGGCAGGTAATTAGTTGTCAAAGATATATCGTATTGCCCTTTCAATTGCCGGCCGCAGACCGAAAAACAACTCACAACCGCAAATAAATCCAATTAAACCAATCCGATATTGTTGCCGCATCGTTAGACCTAGGACATGGTACAATGGTTTAATAGGGTTGTTGAAGTTATTTGCGGTATTGACTATAATTTTATTAAGCTTTCACTACAGACGATATGAGTGTGTTGTCATGTATTTCAATAGTGTTTATAGGCACGTAGATGAGCCTGTCTGTCGGATACACGATGAGTTTAATGTCATGCAATTTTTTATTCAAATAATAACGTCGGTCGGGAACTTCAAAGGCTTGAACTTATGGTTATATAAACGTAAAATATGTATGTGTAACTTATTCTATATTATCCAGACGCGTATTTTCGAAGAAGATAAGCAAATCGAATGAATTTTTAAAATTACTTAAAACGCACACTTACACATCACACATTCACACACATACACACACCTCAACCAATACATTATTAGTACATTATCTTTATTACTACATTTATTAAGGTTCTTCGTATCTATGATCTCATTAGTTTTTGTTTAATTTTTAATTTAAAAATTGTACATAATATTTTTAAAACCAAAAAAAAAAAAAAAAAAGTGGATTGTCAATAATTAAAAAAAATTAAATAAAAAAAATATTTGCTTATTTAGTGACATATCAAACAGAAACATTATTTGTAATGAAAGCATAGTTATTGCAACAACTACTAGATTTGAAACATTTTAACTTTATATTAAACCCCTAACAAATAAATTTGTTTACTTAATTTAAATACCTGTGGAATACCTTACAGTTTTATTCCATGTTAGAAAACATTTGTTCGAAAAATGCGAAGATCAAATTGTCGGCTCTTCCGTTGTACTATTAATTAATTTTTACGTGCAGTTCAAAGTGAAATTATTACTGTATGTGCTTCTTGTACTGTGGCAAGCTTTTTACACTGAAATATGATTTCATTTATTAAAG